TAACCATCTCATACTATAGCCAGCATTTTATTCAGTTGTTCAATTTGATGAACTTGAAGGCCTGGACTGCCGTGAGGTGATGACGATGATGAGTATTTCAAGTTCACTCTACATGGGGCCGTGAGGTTAATAGATTGCCAGACTTCATTGAGGTCGGCGAATAAACCTTTGCTCAGTAGGCTTGTTGATCCCAGTTAGTGGGCTTTGCCGCGACAGCGCGCTACAATGGTTATATTGATGCGGGCCTGCGGCAATCAACGTTACCTTGTCTTTGTTCGCAGCCATCTCGATATCCAGAAGAGCCACCTAAACACATCCGATGCATCAGCTCCTGCGCCTGCAAAATTTGGCCTCGCTGCCTCTCGCTCTTCGTGTACGTTCCTAATTGGCTGTAACGCGGAAACTCAAAGAGCTAAATATTTCATAAGCGTTTCGCCATGCCAGCTGCAAAGGGCTCAGTGGAAGATTTGTCGCGGTTGTTACAGGTCCTAAATCCAATCAAAAACCCAGAAACGTGGATATCCTGCCTTCCCATCTTCTACGCCCATCTTAATCCTGCGGGTATTCCGATCGGAGAGGAGCCAACTTCAAGCCCGGAGCTTTCAGGGGCGGTGTTTGCGTTGGGCGCCCTGCGTCGGATCAAGCTTTCGCGCGCATTGGCAGGCGCAGACCTGTGGCCCCGGATCTGGCAATGGATCTACTTCCTGCACACATACCACGACAATATCCGTTCTTCTCACCTCCTCCATGATGTGTCAGAGGACCTGTTGTTCTTTGTCGCTTGCCTGTCCAGGGATGCAGACATAGCGGTGATGATGGGCCAGACTCCTGGCGTCCGCACAATCTTGATCCAGAGTTGGACGGCTCTCTTTGAGATGTCTTCGGTCGCGAGTCAAAACTCCAGATTCGTGTGGTTGTCCACCATACTACGCAATTTCATGGAGGCCTACGAACCCGAAAGTCTTGCCGAGATTCTGGATGCTACGGACGGACCAAGCGGCCTGGCTTCACTTATCGTCAAGTACATCGAACACTTTATCCCCACCGCGGGGGAATCAATCACGGAAAAAACCTTTTTTTTCTACGACGGCGTCATAACATTTACGACAAACATGCTGGATTGGACAGAAGCGCAAAAGTCAAGGGACATTGGTGTTGCCCTGGTGTCTGCGGGTATCGTGAAACCACTCACCGCTGTGATCTGTGCAATGGGCGAGTCCCCTGCCGTTCACAAAGTTACTGACGACACCTGGATGGAGTGTTTTTTTCTCCTGAAGCACATGTTCACGATCCCCGGGTCGTCCAAGAGCATCGCCGACGCCCTCTCCGCTGGGCTTCTTCGCGGGATTATTCGCCGTTGCGTCATCCGCAATGATCCCGAAAACGACGACTCAGCTGCCCTGTGGAATCTGGTTAGCGAAGACTTACCTTCTGCCACCGTATTCCGTACGGTCCTCCTGCAGCTAGAGCCCCAGCTGACTGAAATTGCCGGAGTTGCATCATCGCTGGAGTTCCAACGGTCGGTGATGTACCCCAACTGGCTGTACTTTAACAATCTTGCTTTGCAACGTATTGGCATCATGAAGGCTCTTCGGGGTGACTGCCATAAAAGCCGCAAGGCGTGCGACAACATGGAGGTAAGCTAAAGCGCTCCATATTCCCGGCTCATAAAACTAATTATTCTTTAGTGCGGTTCAATTCGAGAAAAGACGGACTTTAGACGTTGCTCACACTGCCAGGGAGTGTATTACTGCTCCTCCAATTGCCAAGAGCGGGATTGGAGAAGCGGACATCGCGATACGTGCAACTCTCTCCGGAGTTCGAAGCTTCGTCAGTAGCCACCATTTCCCCTTTGCACGCGTCTTGCCTGAGGCCGTTTGCAGGAAATTCTGATATAAGCCCGCGGAACGTCGCGTTCATGCGGAAGCTGTTCCATAGGGACAGCTACCTCCTCGAGCTCCCAGGGGAGTTGTGTGCCCGACTCCAGCTGATGCGAGCCCATCCTGGAGAACCTCTGGTCTCCGTCCTCGACTACAGGAACATTATCGACTCTTGTGGCAGTGACCTCGAGATAACCACTCGCGCGCCCGTGCGAGAGTGGGTCATGACCCTCGCACTGGCGCGCGAGTGCGACAGTGATGGCGACATCTGCTGGGACGAGTACGTGTCACGCGCAGCGCGGAGTGGGGGGCGCATGGAGCTACGTATCATACGCATCTCCGACTCGGGTCGCATGCGCTGCTGGATGTTTCCCAAGCGCACCGAGCGCCCTACGTTGCATGACGGCCTGATCCGTATTTCTAATCAAGACTTGAGCGGATCCGAGGAGCTGAAAGAGGTCGAAAACCTTCTCGAAGCCACCGAGAAGCCACTGCACATTCATTAGCAGCACTGAGTTCGTAATGTACTAAGTATCTGATATCCTTGCTGTGCCAAGTATTTCGCATAGCTGTCTGTACATTGATTCAATATATCCCACTAGGGGTCTGCTCTCGCAGCCTCAACCTTGCTTGACCTATGCATATTGAGTACCCAACTTTAAACCACTCACAATTGAAGTTCTTAACTGTATCACCGCGTAGATAAATTAAGAAATTCCCTGCGCATGCCTCTACCGCAGCTCAAAGATTCGCTCGGTCGACACTCGCGCGTGCGCGCTCGCGTCGACCAGCTCACATTGAGCCGCACCTTTGAAGAACACCCCTGGCCACAGCGATCGAGGAAAATGTATTGTCCTTAATCTAATCTGTGTGGCTTTATTTGTTTTTTGCAGACGATCGAACGTTTCCTCCAAGTCGATCGTTGCAGTATTTGGTCGGCTTTGCTTTTTGCAGACGATCGAGAGTTTCCTCCAAGTCGATCTCTGTATTGCTTGGTTCTGTTAGGTGTTATCTTATCTTCTTTGTGTGCACCTGTGTTGAAACAGCAGAGTTCGGCTTGGTATGGGGGACCTAGCTAAAGCAAGGTGACCTATCCTTGCGCGGGCCCGACTTGGTGCAGGGGGTTTTGACGCTAGCCGCGTTGAAAATCGTGCAATGGACGAGACGCGGAGGCAGCTATCAAGTCGTCAGCGGGCTCTACATTAGGAGAGCTACGTTCCCAGTTGCTGCCAGAGGAAACCGGGGGAAAAAGTGCACGCATTAACAGTCCTACTAGGGCTCGGACCCGAATCGAACGGGTGTCTTGGTTCTCTGCCATTTAGTGCACATGTAGGAGAGACGACCCGGGACCAAACCTTCTACATCCTGGTGCGAACCCCGTTTTGTGCGATGGATTCGGACAGCATTTGTTGGCCTATAAACTGAGCGCCAGTCGGAACTGATCTCGCACGGAGAATTTGAGAGGCGGTAAATTCGACGCGAGGCCATCAAGCATCAGTGTGTTGACCGTTGCTTGTAATGAATGAGCCCAGTCTGCATCTGCTTGTGGCGAAAAAGAACGGCACACAGAAACTTGGGCGAAGGCTTGGACCGAAATCGAACAAGTAGCTTCTGCAAGGAAGTTGGCTGCTCCTGTGAACGAAGAGGGAAGGCGGACCACGCGCTACCAAGCAGGGTATTCACATCTCAAGGTGTTTGCTGTGGATTTTGGGCGGTATTGTGAGTATCATTCGATCTGTAGAGTATCCGTAAAGACGTCGTTCATTGAAAGTATGTGCATAAACAGACTGAGAGACGTTTCAGCGACGACTTCTCAGGAGTATACTCGGCAAGCGCGGGCATACCTGAAATACGTAAATACATCCATCCATAGATCATGACCCTCCAGCTCGCGTGGCCATATCAGCCGAGGCAGGTCGAGAGGAAGATGGCGCTACAGGTACCACGTTAGCTGCACCGAAATAATCCGAGTCGGACTTTGTCGACGGCGGAGGAGCCAATTCTGCGGGCGCGGAGTTGTTTTTCTCGTCCGCCTCTGGAGCCGACACGGCGTCTACGGGGGCAGCTTCAGGCTCGACATTGGCTGGAGCTGTTTTCACGCGAGACGCAGCAGGCACGACAGCGGCGGACTCAGTCGCTGTCATGTCCCCCGGGCTCCCCATCGTGGCCGCCACAGCATCCGTCCCGTCCGCGTGGAACATATTTTCCAGCCTCAGCGCGTTTGAATTCAAATTCGGCCAAGGGACGTTGGAGCCATTCGGTGGCGATTCCCCTGTTGTTCTTGCGCCAGGGGGAGGATGCGCGGGCTCCGTTCCGTAGTGCGAGATCCATGACAGGGGGCGCGCCAAGTCGTGCATGGCGAGTTCCTGACCTTGGCCCTCCGACGTCGTAGCGGTCCCCTTGCCGCTGGAGTTGTCAGCCGCCGCTTCAACGGGCGGCTGAGCCTCATCTGACACAGGGGGATGACGCGCAGAGCGTTTCTGGTACCAGAACCAGCCACCCACGAGCAAGCCGAGGACAACGACGATAACGACAATGCCGAATATTTGCCAGCCGTTCAGGGAGGTCACACTGGTTCCGGTGTAATTCATTGTGAGTACCCCATATGTACTGGATGGAAAGAATTGGACTCACACAGCGGAGCGTGCAGAAAGGACGTGTATATCTGCGGCAGTGCGACTCCGGTGACGCAGAAAAGCAGGAGACATTGGGTCAAGACCAGAGCGGGATCAGGAGAGCTGAGACAAGATAGCCGCCAGGAGTAAGAGGATCGAAACAGTCCAGTAGCACAAACAGATTGAGAGTGCGCTGCGTCCGCTCTGCCAGAGAGAGGCAAGGCTGGTGAGAGCAGAAGCCAAGCTTGACAGCGTGACCGTGCGATCGACGGGCCATGATGCAGTGATGTCTCATCATGCCGACGCCGTCGGCAAATCGGCAAACCGAACAAAAAAAAACCGAGAAATTCTCTTTGGAGTCAACGTTGCTGGTGGAGCGTGGAAAGTTGTGTGTGCTTTCTCGCATCAGATCAGAGCCGTGGAGTTCTGAGGAAAATTCAAAAATTTGTTGAAACGCCCAAATCTCAACCGAAAGATGAAACAAACGGGCCGGGGCTTTCCACACGGTCTGATGGTGTAGTTGGTTATCACATCCGCTTCACAATCCAATGCGTTCGCGGGCGGTCCTCGGTTCGATCCCGGGTTAGATCACTTTTTTCCCTCGTCAAAACTCACAAGGTTGAAATCCATTCCCGAGACGACAGCCTCGGGGATTTTCAACGAAGGGCCTCGATTCGCCTCCCGCTCCTTGGCTGAGGGCAAACATACACGGGATAAACGAACTTTTCGTGAGCATGGGTAGCAGGGTCGGAATATTGCGCGGGACAACTTCTAGGTGGTCCCTCGTCTGATTATTCAAACGTTCGGAACTCGCACGCAGGCAGGAACCAAGTCAGGAAGATGGATAGGAGCTTCAAGCTTGACCCATACAGACTGCGCATCGAAACACCTAACGTTGCATGGGTTGGAGTCTAATTTCGAGAGGTGCATGCAGGCGAGATTCAGAAAGAAATGGATATTGGGATCATCACCAAATCTGACTTCGGAATCCGAGCCCCCGGGCCGCTGCGGAGTGAGTATTCCGTACATTGAAAACACACGGGACGCACGATTATAGCCCATACAACCCTTGAAGTCCAATGACAAGGAGGGGAGGGATCGGGAAACGATGTGATGAATAAAATCAGTACCACATACTTGAAATATCTGAGTCAGTGCTGCGGTACGAACCTTCCAAGAACTCAACTAGAGAGCCTATATGTAATGGAAAAGTTGGGGGAAAGAGAGAGAAAATGAGTGCCAAGCGATCGCCATAATCGGACGCGGGGATTCGAACCCCGGAGGATACACTGACGAGGGTACAATCACGCTCAATGTGTGCCGTATACCAAGCCCGATGCTATCTTATATCTACAATAGATGTATCGGCCAATATTGTGAGCAATTCCGAGGCGCTCAACCCCGGAAAATATGTGGGCAGATGAGTACTATATATCAACCACCACTGGTTGAGTGAGAACTGCACAACAGATGAACTGGTTTGGGATAATTCCGAGTGCAGGCATGCAGCATGGCTGACTGATCTCGCCACCAAGTACGGGGAGCGACGAACACTCGCCAATTGAACTAAGCGTAAGAAAAAATCTGCAGCAGGTACTAAGCGGACGCGGGGAATCGAACCTAATTTATGGAAGCTCGCTGCGTCCATAAACCACGTCCGATGAATTCAGCCATGAATTGTGTACTGGGTGGGCGAGAAATGGGACACTGCATCAGCAACGGAGAAGGGCAAATTGACGGTGGAACCCATTGAAACGGAAAATCAGCCGCCACACGTCGGCTGTAGGGCTCACAGCAACTGTCAGCAAGGTTTCATATAATACGGGACGAGGGGCACAACAGTAAATGAAGCGCGCTTGACAGAGAAACCGATGGTGCTTGGCGAAGGTACGTAGAGGATTGCATCTCGTCTGTCAACTGAAAAAAATCTGAAAGCTAGTCAATTTTGCGGCCGCAAGTCGAACCCGAGCTGTAGTGGTGGATGGCTCATCGGTCGTGGTTGTTGGAACGTTCCCTGCTGTCGATGTACTCTGGGGGTTCGTCGACGGTGAGGTCGTGGTGCTTATGGTACTGACTGGCCCATCAACAGTGAACCATTGGTTGAGACCAGACCCAGCTGCAGACACCGACAACGACGGGGCCAGCTCAAAGGTCGCAGTTGCAGAGGTTCAATTAAATACGAGGATAGCAGTGCATTGTAGCAAGGCACGCTGTCCAAAGAGCATGAGGGAGATTATGATAAGGATGGTGAAAAACATGGGGTAGAAGGAAGTGGTACCAGACGCAGAGTGGACATCGAGCGATCACTTCTTAACGCTGGGATAAGTCTCGGCCAATTATAACTTTGGCTTTGGGGGCCATTGCTAGCGCATGGCAGTACTCGTCGGGCCTTCGGCCTTTGGTGAAAACCACAATGTCTCGGCATCAACACTACAGAGCCTGCGGCGCGACCTCAAGCCTGCGGCACAATTCCTGATGTACTCAAGGTGTTCCTTGACTGTGTCGTTGAGTCGTAACTTCAACACTTTAGAGCCTGCGGCGCAATTATTTTATCGCATTAAATCCGAAAGTGTGTTCTGGTTTTACAGCGAAGCCTGTGGTGCTTGCTCTCTCTCCAGACTTTGACAGGTACGATTCTACGACAGTAGACACTAACTCGAGATCTGGAACGTACAGATTCTTATTTGGGCTTTAGGGGCCTTTGTACCGCGGCACATGTCAGATTCAAGTTGCTGCTCTTTTCCTGTTGCTGCTTTTTTCCTGTATTCTCAAACTACGGGAGCCAAAAGAACAGATGCAGGCTCTGAAGGTATTGTTGTGCCATCCAGGCTTCTAGATATGCTTGCACGGCTCAACGTTTGCTCGGTCAACGCTCACGCTCACATTGAGCCCGGGGGGGCCATTAATGAACTGCATACTTACAACATTTTTGGTTCAATGTGAACAGTACCAAAAATACAACCGCGATACACTCACAGTTTGAAGTACGTGTACTCCCTAGCTCTAAGAAACCTCAAGCCAACTCACTGAACCTTTTCCCGGACATCTCATTTCCTATGCTCAGCTTTCCGACTAGCATGGAACCAATGACAGCGTTACAAGTGGGGTGTTGCTACCGATATAAATTTCAATAATCAAGTCCACAAGTTGGACGGCGTGGCCAATGGATCGAGTTCGAAAGCTCGTCACACTTTTGGCTGGATGCGAATACAACTCGGATGGAGCAGTGGGATATGCACCAGGGTAAGTATGCCGGGTAAAACCAGTGTTACGAGCCGACAGTGTAAAGATCTCGGGCTCGTACCTCACATGTTGTATATCATTGGCACAACTCACAATCATGCATACCTATACCTATCCACATCCTCATAAGATTAGCTGGTACACAAACGAACATCTTGGAAAGAGAACGGCAACAAACATATGGTGACACTGTCTATACAATGTGGTAAATAAATCTTGCATGAAGGACGAAGTAAATGAACTACAATGTAAGCTGAGTATGGGCTAGACAAAATGAAGAAGTAAATGTGAGGTGTTTACAAGGAGAACAAATAGAATTGAAGCTGCACTCACGCGTAGAACAAGGAAGACTGAATATTACGGAGAAGTAAATCCCACCGGCAGGGATAGCCATCTCAAGGCCTAAAGCCATATCTGGAGAAAGAAAATCAGTTACAGTGGCAGACTGGATTCTAACATACTATACCTGCGTAGATCGGCGAGATTGCGATATAGATGATACTTACCTGGGTTGGGTTTGTCGGGGTCTTGGGGAAGTTCGGGGATAGGAAGTTAGGAACTGCCATTGATACCGGTTACATAGCGGGGATTAAATTGACGTGACAACTTACCTACTCATCTTAGCGGGTGGCCAGTGTTGTTCCAAAGTCAGCGCCTGAGATGGGGAGTCAACTCAAAAGACAAATCACATTAATTTAGTAAAAGCAAAGTAGTCAGACACAATTATGGTTTGCCGGAAGGACTCGGATGGATTTCAGAAACATCGCAAGATCACAAGTTCGAACCAGTGACAGCGTAAAATTGTCTTTGTTCAGAGAGCCCACTATACTGACCACTGCCTCATATGCGAGCTATTTACAACATTGGTGCACCCAATCCTAGAAGAATGGGGATCTAAGACGACGCAGCGCAAGCAAAACACACATTTGATGGTGGCCAGGATTTTCCGGTGCACGTAAAAGTTTAAATTGGTGCAGTGAGTTGGTCATAGCATCTCAAGCTAAATAATACCTGATGCTTTCGTTTTGACAGTATACGCAGGCAGATGACTTTGAACGTGCACCGGAAGATCCCAGCCACCATCGTTGCATGCATCTGCAAAGGGAAACACCCACGACAATTTTCTGTGTACTGGTGGACACTGGGGAGTTTTGCCGGGGGGGAGGGAACTCCTCTCGTACACCAGCTATTTAGCTGAGTGGCCAGGTCCCACGAGGTTGCACCCAGCGGTCCCGCCTATTCAGGGCCAGCCAGTTCACGGTAAGTCAGCGTCTTGTGGTCATGGACCCCCTGGAATGATGTTGTGCTCCGTTGGCATCTTGGAGATTTCTGTGAGGATAAACACCCGTACAGTACTTCATGTTTGTCTTCGGTAGACTCGTTGTTCATGTTGTGGACCACGCGAGTATAATAAACCCCCCCCCCCCCCCCCCCCCCCATCAAATGCTTTTGATGTTGCTGGTTGGTGCTAGTGCTAAAAGCTTGTTCCTATGAGGCCATGTATACACAGCTTGTGTACTATGCACATATACAGTGTTGGAGGCTCTACACGGTGTTAGCAGTTGTGCAACTATGCACAAGTCACGCAAACTGTCTAACCAACATGGTGTTGTTGCCATCACCATCTGTGAGGTTCCAGTCCTTTGAGAGGTCAGAACCCCGCTAGAGTCGTCAAGAAACCAAGTAGTTCGCGCACAAAGGTGAGTGGGTGAGGTATTGGATTCGAGAAAACTAAAGATCTACCTACTCACTAGCTACATTAAATAGGATTCTACGTTACTGCGTACATACATCTGAAAAGGCAATTCTATTAATACAAGCCTGCGCCGCAAGCACGCAGCTGAAGGCACAGTCCTCGCAGTTCAACCACGTAGTTGAGGACGTGGTTGAACACGTCGCGCCGAGCCGCCGCTCGGACATCACCGGATGCCGTGATGCCGAGGTCCATCCCTTACACCATCCTCGGCAACGGCCGAAAGCAGCTGTATCGAACCCAAAAACAATGAAACTCATGCTCGTGTATCCAGAGTGGAAGATATTTATTGGGGTAAGATATGCATTAAGTACGGGCGATAATTCCGACATGGCGTGTCGTGAATCGATCCGGATGGAGACCGCACTAGCCTGTGGAGAATACAGTGAGCGAGAATTCCCTGGTGCTAGGAGTCTCGCGACGCATTCGCGCAGCTGGATTCCCCCGGGCTAGGCGTGAGACTCACCCGTGCTTAGCGGACCCGCGGCATCAAAATGCGCAAGATATTCGCGTGTAGTTGTGGCTCAGCCTGCATATAAGGCGCCATGATTTGAGCGTGACGGCGTAGATAAATTGTGAACGCATCGGACGCCCA